TTCAGCAGTCCAGCCATCTCTTCAATAAAGCCTGAAGATGGCCTTCTCACGATCCAGCCAAAAGATGTTTTGCACGAAAACTCTGGCCCTCTAGTCGGCAGATTGTTGGAAAGCAGTTCAGCCCAAGAAGGGTCATCCTTCTCCCTCGCTTAAACAAGGGGATTTATATTTTATGTGTGGTGCATTAAAATTAGACAGAAGAGTCTCGCACTATTGTCCCCAGACATCACTTCTGACTAATTCATTACACTTTTATAACTTTGCTCAATGTCATATTTCAGCCAGCCAGTAGACGTAACATGTTGTAAGATGCATTAAACGTCATGCTCTCGCATACTGTTATACCACCTTGAATAAAGACTACAAGCACGGTCAGTGCACCGTAAAGCGTCGTCTGTGCCGTTATCTCTAGGGGAAATCACCCTGCAACGTAATGGCTTGAAGATTATGGGATATAAAACTAAAATTCGACACAGGCTCTGATTTTTTTGGCTTGATTTTGTAGGTCTGTTGAAGCCCTTGAACTATGCCTGCTGAAGACAAACCCACTGTATATGGACTAAGATGCAGTCTTATAATCAACAATATCGTACTGCAAAATTTCTCTGCATGTCATCAGCCAGAATTTAGCTCAGGATCCCATGGCACAAGAGCACCAAAGACTCAGGGATGGCTAATACCATCCAGCATGCTACAAAGCCCTCCCACACCCCTTCTGAATTAATAAAAGCCTTTTATTGTTGTGCAGCGGTTACTCCAGAAAAAAAACTGACTTAGTGTGATGTGTCACCTGGCATGTAAAAGAAGAAGCCTATGAGGCAGTTTAGGCCAGTGGAGTGTGTGCATGCATGTGTGATCATTTCTGTGAGTCATCTAAATTTCTTACTAAGAGGTAGGTGTGCAGGTGAGTTGAACCATGTCCTATATGTGAACGTGTCTTTTTGTTTATTGTCTATGAGCAAACAAGACAGATTTATGCCTCTAATAATTAAAGTGTGTTCTGGTTTAATTAATGCATTACTGTACACATCCATCATTGATTTTTTTTTCCTAATGGAAATAGAGGTGAACAAGGACGGAGTAAAATAAATAAATAAAAATTCCAAATTGAACACAAAGTTTACTCCCTGGACATCCAGTTCCTATAGATGAGGCTGATTGCTTTATTAAAAGGAATATTCCAGGTTCAATTGAAGTTAAGCTCAGGCTACGTCCACGTGTATCCGGATACATTTGAAAACGGCGTTTCAGTGTGGATGAGAAACTTCTAAATTCACCTTTACTGCGCATGCGTGAAACCTCACAAAAGCTCACTGAGATGATACAGATGGAAAAATAAATAATAAAGTTATCGCGGAATTCTTCTAACAGGATAATTTTATTTAGCAAAATATCTCACCATCAATGATGCGTCCAGGTCGCACTCAGTCACCATATGTTTGGTCTAAAACGCGACTGCTCTGTATTGGTGCAGGACAGCAAATGTGAGTACATTTTCTGTCATCTTTGCAGGACTGTGATATGAAGAGTGTGCAAAGTAACATATTTTAGCAACAGTGTAAAAGTGAATAGCACATAACAGGCACTATACCAGTAAACATGAGTATCTATTGGTACAACATGGATCACATGACTAAACTTACGTCATCGTTTTCAAATACCTCCGGCTTCACAGTCCACACTACAACACGAAAACAGCGTTTTCAAATTTATCCGCTTTGGAGAGCGTTTTCCAAAAGCTATGTTTTCATTGACTTAAAACACCGTTTCAGTGTGGACGGAAGGCCAAACCGGAGAGACTGGTATAGTGCCTGTTATGTGCTATTCACTTTTACACTGTTGCTAAAATATGTCAAACGAAAACGTATTAGTGTGGACAGTCGACAGCATTTGTGTATTAATGTTGCTTACTTCAAATAATTAATTCCTGGCTTTCTTTAAAAAAAAGTAAAAATCAAGATTATGGTGAGGCACTTACAAAAGAAGTGAATGGGATTTAAAAGCTGAAATTTGAAGCTTATAATTTTATTAAAGCACTTACATTATTTCTTATGTTAAAACTTGTATATTATTTAAGCTGTAAAACAGTGTAAATCATATTTAAATACATATTTTTTTACACTAAAATCATGTTAACACATATTGTTTACATCTGGTTATATTACTGAAACGTTTAATGTTTACAGATTGACTCCTATTCACTTCCACTGTAAAAAATCTCGCTGTAACAGAAGTGCAAAATCAACATTATGCTATAGATTGAGCTTAACTTGTATTGAACCAGAAATATTCCTTTGAATGTCTAAAATATACGTTGTTTTCATGATTTTTACCCCAAAAAAGAAAAAAGAAACGGTTTAATATAAAAAAATACAAAAAAAGTTGTAATAGATGATCAAGGCCATAACATGAGCAAGTTATCATGCAGCACTATGCAACAGCACCTCGCTCTCCACATTCTCATAATCTAATCTCACTAAGGCGTCTGGTTCTGTTCAGCAGCTTTCTTGTTTTTCCTTTATGTCAAACGACTTTTATTGCCTTGTTTTTCTGTGCATCTCTAAACCACCTTTTAATCATTATCTAATTATTTAGATCTAGATTTGCCACAGGCGCTGAGGAGCAACTTGCTGAGTTGCAGCCCTGAAGGGTCTGATTGGAGCAGAAGGGTTGAGGGTGCAATGCTCTCTGTGAACTACTCCATACAGCATGTCTGCATAAGCCTTCCTCTCTGACGGCTGATGTCTGTCACCTTTTGACCTACTGAAGTTAAAAGCCCCTTCATACATTTAAAAAAAGGCACATGAAACGCAAAAGTAAGGTGAGGCATCAAAGGTCGACTAGAGCGCACACATAAAAGGTATGAATTTAAAGGGCCTTTTAGCAAGAGAAGCTTGAAGCTGATGTAAAAAATAAAACATTAGATATCATTTATCAGTTAGAACTTCACATGCAATATATTGCACAGGCTGCCAGAGTCACAGAGAGGAATGGAGCGTGAACAAAGGCATTTAAATGATTATTCATAAAACTTCATGTCACCTTTAAATTTAACACCTGCGTGTTAAAAGAGGAACCCATTGGAATATCCACAGCAGGTAAATGGCTTACTTCAAACCATTCAAGAGGCATTAGCGAGTTATTAACGAGCATTAATTTCAACATGGTGGATGGTTTTTATGAATACAGCTCTGGGTGACTCCAGAGTTTAAAGAGAAAGTTCATCCAAAAATGAAAACGCAGTTAACATTTACTCACCACCATGTTACTCCAAACCGGTATGACTTTTATTCCCACAAAACAATATGTTAGTCAGGATAACAGTTCAGTCACTAATCACTTTCACAGCATCTTTTTTTTTAAATATATACACCATACAATGCATGTAAATGGTGACTGAAGCTGTAATTTCTGCCTAACACAAACCAGCTCTGAGCAGCTCCAAGAACTGAACAATTTAGAAGTTCAACAAGGTGAAAGACAACTGTTTACCAACAAACATTTGTCATGATTCTGATTTTGGCCCAGCTATACCTGGTTTGCAATGTGAAAATGTCTCCCTCAAAGCTTGTGTTCAAATATATTTATCATTTATGTGATGTGTCATGGCTTATGTTGCCAAGGGAACATATGATAATGAAAACATTTCTGCTCTCTTATATACTCCGGTTGAGCCTGGGGTCTGTGTAAGAAGCCTTAATCATTCTCTTCCAAAATGACAGCAAACTCAACTTATCACCCACAATTTCCACCTCATACTTTCAACAATCTAAATCACCCTTTTACTTCTGAAATGGCATCGCAATAATATATCATATCAGCAGCATCTACTAGGCTACTATCCAACAATACACAGAGTGATAAGGCAGAGCTTTATTCCATCCATAAATAGGATTCAGCATGAGAAACCTGTGTGAGGAATTGCACCCTGTTCCTTTAGCAACAGATGCCCAAGTCATCACCAGCACCACACGTCTCTCTCTCTCTCTCTCTCTCTCTCTCTCTCTCTCTCTCTCTCTCTCTCTCTCTCTCTCTCTCTCTCTCTCTCTCTCACACACACACACACACACACTATCAGGGAGCACAGCACATGCCTATGGGCTAATTCTCTCTCAGCTCAACACATCAGCATTTAAACCCTTCGTTTCATGTGTCACAGATAACAGCAGTAGATCTTCATTCATTGCGCTTAATCTGTTTGTTTCTTGTTCGCGAGCGGTGGAGCTCGAGCAGACAAGCCGCGCGCGCTTTAGAGATTTATCACAGGCCACACAGTGCCTTCGTATTTGCACCCATAAATTTGGTCAAAGCGTCTTTCAAAGTGAAAACACTCAATCATATTTCAAAAATAATCCAAAGTTTGAAGGCAACAGGTTTAGGGGTTGCTACATTGGTTAGGCTATAGTAAACCAAGAAACAGCGTGACAAGTTAACTAAAGAAAATGCGCATTTGTGAGCATCCTTTAGACTCTGAAAAATACGCATTGAGAGGCCGATATTTGTTGTTATGCAGAAAAGTCTAGAATTATACATACCCAGCACTAACTAAAATAACGGGCGTTACGATGTATTTCCAGTTTTATTATACAATGTGTTTAAAACGAATCATCTCTCATTCCTCGACTTGTAATAAGCAGTCCTGTATCCTAAAGTAATCCATCCATAATTTATGACTCTAGGTTACTAAATATTGGTGAAAGGTGTCTCGACAGCACAAATTCATTAGTTTACATCGACGCCTGGACGCACGCGCAACTGGACACATACACAGACGACACAGACACACACTGCCGCATTAATTCCATTGTACTTCTATACATATTAAAACACGGGTTTCGTTATTATAGCCATGAATACAGCTGGCAAATAATAGAAAATACAAAATTACAGTTTTAAACGCAGTTGTTTGCGAAGGCTATTTATGCACAAATTTCCTAGACTACCGAACAACATACAAAATGTTTGTTTTCCAAGTAATACTACTAAATGTTTAGTCTTACCTTGACTCTTGTTACTTTGATTTTAATCTAAATATATCCGTCAGAAGCTCTGGTGTGGAGTCGATGTCTCCTCTCGCCTGTCTTTCTCCGTCTTTCTAGCTCTCTCGCTGTTCAAACCCCCCTCCCTCCCTCCCTCCCTCCCTCTCTCTCTCTCTCCCTCTCCCTCTCCCTCCCTCTCTCTCAAATTGATTCACCCTTTCGCAGAGCTGGAAGCGGAGCACTGTCTGCCTGTGAGTAGTGGCGGAGATGGAAAAATACACGCAGAAAGAGATAGCAGCCAACTTTACCACAGTACGTCTTATGATGAAATTTCGCATGTAACATATTAATGAGCCTGGAGGACATGTAGTGTGTTTAAAAACCCATGAGGTAAATTAAATATTATTAGCCTGAACCAAGTGATAGCCTATTAAAATAACGATTAAAGCGCAAAAGTGACATGTGAAGGTGAGATGTCAAACCGACCAGTCAAGTCAAGTTTAGGTCTGTCAATCAAACCTTAAAGGGATACTCCACTTTTTTTGGAAATAGGCTCATTTTACAACTCCCCCAGAGTTAAACTGTTGAGTTTTACCGTTTTTGAATCCATTCAGCCGATCTCCGGTTCTGGCGGTACCACTTTTAGCATAGCTTAGCATACATCATTGAAGTGGACAAGACCATTAGCAGTTCTCAAACAAAAATCACCAAAGAGTTTCGATATTTTTCCTATTTAAAACTTGACTCTTCTGTAGTTACATCGTGCACTAAGACCGACGGAAAATGTAAAGTTGCGATTTTCTAGGCTGATATGGCTAGGAACTATACTCTCATTCCTGCGTAATAATCAAGAAACTTTACTGCCGTACCATGAGTGCAGCAGGCGTAATGATATGACGCAGCGCCTGAAAATAGTTCCGTTGTGTTGACGGAAGGTGGCCTATTTTCAGGCGCTGCGTCATATCATTACGCCTGCTGCTCTCATGGTACGGCAGTCAAGTTTCTTGATTATTACGCAGGAATGAGAGTATAGTTCCTAGCCATATCAGCCTAGAAAATCGCAACTTTACATTTTCCGTCGGTCTTAGTGCACGATGTAACTACAGAAGAGTCAAGTTTTAAATAGGAAAAATGTTGAAACTCTTTGGTGATTTTTGTTTGAGAACTGCTAATGGTCTTGTCCACTTCAATGATGTATGCTATGCTATGCTAAAAGTGGTACCCTCAGAACCGGAGATCGGCTGAATGGATTCAAAAACGGTAAAACTCAACAGTTTAACTCTGAGGGAGTTGTAAAATGAGCCTATTTCCAAAAAAAGTGGAGTATCCCTTTAATGGAGAACCGTAAACACTGCAAATAACATGCTGTAAAAGCCAGATTAGTCGTTTTAGATCTTCAGACAGACCTAAACACGCCCCCTATTACAATAGCAATAATATTTACCAATCAGAAGCAAAACAAGTTAGCTTCCGGGTTCCCATATGGACTTATGGGTTCACGCTGAGAACGTACAAAAAGCCAGAAAGCTCATCAAAAACACATTAATTGGAGTTAATAAGAATTACAGCAAATAAGAAAATTAATCCAGGGTTTAGGAATATGCAGTGTGAAACATTAGTTTACGAATACTCAGGATTAAAGGCCCTTGTACACTGAGTCCGAAATTTTCGGAAGTGTTTTTCGTATTGACGTATTCGTGATTCGGTGGCTCTGAGTCTGAATTGTCAAAACACCATTCAAGCACCAATCAAACTGCTTGCTACGGATGCGAAAAACGCAGAAAATCGAACCCGATCCAATTTTTTTTTGTCACGGACTAAAGTTTCGGAGGCCGTGTGCAAGCGTGATTGACATAACGTGAGGTCGTATTTATTTTTTAACGAACGAAAATTTCGGACGCGATTTTCGGACTAAAGCCGCCTTTCCACTGCACACGACAAACGACAGCCGTTGGACCGGAAGTCATTCATTTCCAATGGAGGGTCGTACGGGAGCTGCGGGGAGTTCCGATCATATGCGTATGCGGAAAATTCGTATCCGATTTGAGCTTTGGATCCGTTGAAATATCTGAACTTCTGCGGCTAGACCGTATGCGACCGGCCGACCGGATGTGATGCACTCACTCACTCACACATTCCAGCATTGCGATCTCAGATTAGGTCCCTAACCCGCGTATAAAGTAGTTCCGCATCACATGAATTAATTTGCACGCGAGTTTTATTTATTTTTATATCGTGTATATTCATGCACTGAACCGTGACGCCCATAAAGTTTCGGTTCAATACGAATACATGTACCGTTCCAACCCTATTCTACACTGTACAAATAAGTACATGCATATTACAGAAAGCACTGATGACTGTTTTAAGGGGAACAGGAATTAAGTTGTGCAGGCTATGGCTTTTTAATAGACAGATAGTCTAGCATCATGCTACATACATTCGCTATGATGACTACTTTTCCATTGATTGCACTTGAGCAAACGTCACCAACCCAACCCTTGACAAACTGATTGTACGCCTCCAGTGATTTCCAGGCTCGGAATTGCTCACGTGTAAAAAATACCCGATAATGTAACGTTACACATGATAATACTGTATGAGGCAAAGCTGCTTAATCAGTGCTCGGTGCTTCCTTCGTTAGTGCGGATCCACACCATTTATGACAGAAATTTTCGCATTGTACCTTTCTCTGTTTTGTGTTAATAGAGTCTCTTTATAATCTCTGTCACTTTGTCTCTTCATGATTTTCGTAACATTATAAACAGAAAGAAATATTCGAAATTTGCTTGTAAAACTTTGTAAACACAGCAGCTTATGCCCTCAAAGATGTCTCCGGGGAGGTCACGTGACATTAATTGGCCTGTGGGAACTATGTAACGTTATACCTCTTCCCGTCATGGCAATCTGTCGCGCTGGTCATGTTTGACCATTTGTTTCAAAGTTCAAGTTTTTGAAAAGGATACCGTCATTGTTTCGGTGTAAACAAAAACGTGAATTTGTGAAAACGGTGACGTCATGCACATGCATATTACCTGTTCAATCTATAGGCACGTAGTGTTTCTTTACAAAGTGACATTGCCAGCTACAGGCCTGGCAGCATAATACAGTGTTTTTAGTTGTTTTCACAGATCCATGTGAACGGGGATTGTTTTGACAAACTTGTCATCTCTGTACGCGAAAAAAGCAAAGGAAAACCTTTACCGTTTTTAGTGCATCGTTGTCGTGTAAACGTACCCTCAAACTTTAACATCATGCGCATGTGTATTACGTGTTTAGTCTATATAGACATAGTGTTTCTTTACAAAGTGACATTGCCAACTACTGCCTGGCAGCATAATACAGTGTTTTTAGTCGTTTTCACAGATCCGTGTGAAAGGGGATGGTTTTGACAACATATTGTCTTCTGTAGCCCATGCAAAAAATGCAAAGGAAAAACTTCTCCATTTTTAGTTCATATTTACTGCATTACTTGTTGTATACAAACAATTTAAACTAGCATCAGTGTTATTTTCTGAGTATGTGCTGCCGAATTACTCTCATTCATGTGTGAATATACCAAAGCCACAGTATCGTCCTTTCGCAACAGTTTGGCCAATAAGAGAGACAAAACGTGTAGCCTATGTAAATCTCTTATCCACAGGAGCAATTTCTTATCTAATGAGCAATGGCGCAGGTGAATGTCAGTTAGACCGTATTTCATGCGTGTCACATCAAAGCACGCAGGACATGTCAATCAATCGATGCACTCTATGGTAGAGACAGACAGCTGTCCTTTTATTGACACGAGACAGGCCTGGTAAAGCATAAGAATTTCCTGCTTCACACTTTGTGTGTTTGTGTAGGTATAATATTTATGTGCGTATGTATGGGCGTGTGGTACAGAACGCATATGCTCGACCACAACACGTGCGCGCTCCGCTTAAGATGTTACGTTGGCATAGCAACTCTGAGGCGCATACAGTAGCCAAATCAGCCCCCTGCTCGCGCTCCTGAGCACCCAGCATCTGGCTTTAAACGCTTCACCTTTTCTTAACAATTTAGTACGAGGTTGCGCATAACATCGCAATAAACAATTGTGAGGGATATCGCTCGATACACAGGGGCGTGAAAACATGAGTTGGTGCTTGGAGGAATTGGAGGTAAATGAGGTGTGAGAGGAGGAGGGAGAGGTCAGTGGGGGGGATATCAGATGGCTGATTAGCACAGAATTGATAACATTCTAAATTCAGACACAAGGAATCAGTCACTGCCTCGCCACTTTTAACTCTTCACTTCCTACTCTACTGAGAGTTCTCTGCCCGCAATAAACGTCTGAGAGATGAGATTGCGGCTGACTTTACCTCCCTATACCTTTCTTTTTTTTCTCAGGATGGATATGGAACAGAGGTGCTGTGTCTTTCAGCCTAAAATGATATTCGCACTCGGCTACGGCTTACTCAGAGGGGCTTGTACTACAGGTCAGTGGCCAATCCCGGCACCCTCCGAATCAGCATGCCCCCGCACAAACTCCCCTCGTCCTTCCCTCCTCCGTCGCTCTCTGCGGCGCACTCGCTCCACTGACATCACATCTATACCCTTAGCTCTCTTTGAATACCTCCTCCCCTTCCCTTCCTGCCTTTTGCCCCCGAACTGCGCTCTATGCAGTAGTAGAGGAGGCATTGTTCACAGCCCACAGCTCAACCCTGGAATTCTACACCAGTGGGTTCTCTCTCTCCTTCTCTCGTCCAGGATCAGCATCCTGCTCCTTCTTCCTCTCCCTCCCTCTCTCTCTCTATTAAATTTCCAGTCACACAACAGTGCAGTGGATATCCCTCCCTCCCTCCGGTTTCTCTCTCTCTCTCCCTCTCACTCTCTCTCCTCTTTCCAATCTCCTCCCCTCTCCCACAGATACCCTCCTATGTTGAAATCTTCCTGGATCTCTGTGTGTCTCCCTGTTGACTGCTCTCTCTCCGAGTCAAAGCCCTCAATCTCCATTGATTAAGACTGCAAGCTGTCCCCCTCCTCATTTATAATCGCCTCATCTCTTCCGCTTTCACCCCAATTAAAACCTTTCTCTAGGTTTGAGCTCCCCCACCCCGACTCACACTATCCGGCATGGCAGTTGTATACGTTGCGCAGTGTGTGTGTGTGTGTTGGTTGACCATGTGG